TTTAAAGAGAATAGGTCTCGTTATTATTATTTGGGTATGCCTAAAATCTTAAGTTTATATGATGGTTGTAAGTGATATCATTAATATCCCAGAGTAGATATCATTAATATCCCAGAGTATATATCATCAATACCGCCAAGTAGACATCAAGTTTTGTTAATATCAGATTTATTAAGAAAGATGAAGATGGTGTGCTAAATTTTCAATACATGAAGATGGAAATATCTCTTTGTTGATATTATAGATGTCTCTGTAGATATCATTTTGGTGGTATCAGTCTGCATCAAGCAAGATTCTCTAACCCCCTCCCCTCCTTCCTCAGGTTTGTGATTATGTTTGTTTGTTTAATCTATATTTCCTCCAAATTATGGAGTTAATAAAAATATGAAAGAAAAAGATTAAAGAATAAAGAATAAGAGATGAGATTGGGGATAAAATAGTATCTTGTTACTATGTTTACTGGTAGAGATGGGGGATAAGCCATTTGAAATTATTCATGTTTTTGCTGAGGTAGAACTGTCAATTCTTGGATATTAGGACTTGACCTCTGTACAATTCTGTATTGGCTACCCCAAGCATAATTAATTGATGTTTGATCCAATCTTCATCAAATGGTAAAAAAATCTTCATATCAGTTTTCAGTTATTTGATAGACTTTAGTTCAATTGTTGAGAGCGCTGGAATGTATTGTTATTGTTTTTGTATCATATTTAATGTTTTCCAAATGTTGTGATTTTTGTGAAATATGGAATAAACAAATGACCAAATAAATAAATAGCTCTGTTGTCAACACTCTAAATTATGTACAAATGCCAGAAACTGGGTGTTAGATAACAAAATATGCGAATAAGTGATGTTGCGTTCTATTTTATGAAAGGGAGGAAGACGTGATATCCCAGTATTCAAGCAAGTGGGTGCTTCACGCACTTGAAATTTTTAGAATAGACTAGACCCACTTGAAAGCTTATTTACACCCATTTAAAATGAAATATTTTGGAAAATTTTGGGATGAAACTGCAAAAGTAAATCTCAGCACGAACTTGAGAAAATATCCTTGGATTAACAGTGAAGAGTATTGATGGAAAGTAAATATTTGGAATGTAATAATAATCCACAATTTCCATTGAAACACCACGTTGCCATGGAAATTAATGTTAGTTTGTTTAATGGCATGCTTTTTTTCTTAACTAAGAATAATTCTGTTTCTTCTAACTAAAGAACAAAGAAGGGGTCAGAGAGGGAGGGGGACATCTATATTTGATTTGATATCAAACTTTTGGGACTATTAACAATAATAGAAATGTTTATGTTTAGAATATTATGCTTATATTTTGTGAATTCTTTTTTGAGAGTGAACAAGAGAAATCCATTATTTCTGATTAAGTGTACTTATATGGCTATTGATCCGTCTTTAAGTGTTGTTTGATGAGCTTCAGTAGCAAAGGTAGAATGTTTCATTTCCTCATAAATGTTTAACATGAAATATTGCATCATAAAAATATGACAAATTCAGAAGTCAGAACTCTCATTTTGACAACTACTGGAGCATGAACAAAACAAACAACCGAAATTGAGCAAACATACAAAGAAATAACAAAAAAGCAAGGAAACAAGCAAAGAAAAATATTTGATAAAGTCAAGTTTTGAATATCAAAAATAACATACAGTTAAGCCTGTTTAATCTGAATGCCACTTGAACAGGCCAAAAGTGTTCAAATTAGTAGGTGTTCACATTTCAAAGTTTCCAATTTATGTAAATCAATGGGAAATTACAAAATTGAGACCAAGAAAAAGTGTTCACTTAGAAACATGTTCAGATTAGAGAGGTGTTCAGATATACAGGTTTTTCTATATTAGATTTACAAATATCATAGATTGACCTGAACAGGGTATCAAGATAAACATTGAGAAATGCTCCTCAGTCCAAGGTTATTTCGGGCCAAGAAGAAAAAAAAGAAGAAACTCAGAAGTGATGAGGTTACTCTTATGTAGGGGTGAGACGAGTCGAAAAAATCAGATTCGAGTCGAATCCGATTCGAGTCAGAAAATGACGATTCGAGTTTCGAATCCGTTTCGAGTCAGATAAAGTGCGAACAACATCGCTTTTGACCGTTCGTATTTTTAATGCGTCAATGGTGGAAAGCCGGAAATATAAACAAACACAATTCGTCGTAAGTTTATTCTGATTTAATTACATATATTCTTTCATTTATGTGTACATACAATATAATAATTTAATACAAGCATATCCAAGTCATTGAAACTTATATATTCAACGCAATATCGAGTAAAAACATGCATATTGACAGTATTTTTCTGAATTTTTTTATTTTTTCGAAATTTTTTCTCAACTCGAAAATGATTCGATTCATCAACTTCGACTCGATTCGACTCGACTCGAAGCCCCAAACCCGCGAGTCCTCGACTCATCGGGTTGTCGTCTCACCCCTACTCTTATGTCAAGTACTAGTGCACGTATGTAGGATTCATATATTTCTTATTTTTGCAAAAAACAGACTGGAAAATTGTCTATTTGTAACATATTGTAGGCTGAGATGATTTTTATTGTAGGCTGAGATAATTGTAAGTGTAATTTTTATTGTATTAATCTTAGGATTTTGCAAAAATTATGTAAGTTGATGTAATAATTTGTTATGTAACCACAAGAAGTATATTGTTATAGTCTCCAACTCTTCATGGATGGTGTTTGGAGGTTGGCATTTGGCAGTTAATGTTTGGTGATTGGTGTTTGTAACAAATGGCAGAGAGTGATATTGATCACTAATAGAAAGATACAATAGAAAGACATTTTACCTGTTAATATAGTATTTTTCATTTTTTCAAAAAATTTGCAAAAATGTTTCGAATAAGAATGGTAGTAGATTTTATTTACATTACAATTATAATTTAAAAACATTGCTTCTTTCAGAGTTTTTGACAGAAATATGAGTGATTCTGCCAAAACTTGAAATCTCAATGCATACTGTAAAGTCCAATTTAGTAGACTAACCCTATAGAAATATTTTGTTATTGTATATTTTGGGAACTTGGCCTTCAGTATATATTTGACATGGGAAATATATTTCACATAGATGTCAACAAAATGAGGTAAAAAATAGTTGATAAATCATTCAAATATGCTCATGGGTCAAAGGTCATTTACTGTTGTACACCTGTTAGTAAGTATATTATGTACAGTGCAACTTGTGTTTGTGAACATGATTTTGAAAAATCTGTGATTAAATTCAGAATTTTTTTTTACCAATTTTTGCTGCCAATGTTGAAATGGACCATGGTCATATCATATCAGGGGGGGGGTGTGGTGTGGACTTGCACCTAATGCACCCTCTGGTACACCCATGATTTGAAACACATAAAAAGCACTCATTAATTAACTAATTGTATCGTATATTAATCACAGACATATGGGGTGAGTAGGTGGCAAAATCTGCATGGGTAGAACTTAAACCATTGACAGGACATGCAGATTTCATGGTTCAATTTTCTCTAAAGCCATTTCCATGAAAATTCCTTACATTTATGCCCTGTGCACCTTTGCAAGCAAAATTATTTCCAAACCATCATTTTGATATTAAAAATCATGAGCATTTAAGAAATGACCACAAAAATGTAAGAATCTCTATTAATCGGGGAATTTATCACTTTTCCTTTGTCATATAAATTCTAACAATTTGTAAAATTTGAAACACTTGACCGTAGTCTATTTTTATAGTGTAAAAGGGAAATAACAAACTTACTAAGCTTTATATAGTTTTATTTGAGGAAGTATTTTGATTACATTTCAATATGATGCATCACTGAAAAAGTGATATTGGATTTAGTCTGATTCAGTGGATAGAGCTCTTTTAGGGAGAATTTAGCACATACATATAAAATTGTGGTTAGCCACATGTTCTCCATAGCAGACTATTTGTGATACACGAGAGAAGCCTGGAGTTAAGATACCCTTTGTACTGTAAATTTGGTTAATTTTGTGCTACTTAATTTGGCGATTTTGCCACTTTTGGCATATTGGCGGCTATTTAATTTGGCGGATATGCAAAAAAAAATTAAAATTACTCTCTGCAATGTTAAACTTACGCGCTGTTTGCGAATTACCATGTAAATGGGCATGTTTGGCTATATTCATTTTTTCTTTTGAGGACCACTGGCGATATTCACCACGTTTGTACAATTTTTTGAGATCATCCTTTACATTTTGTACCTCGATCGATGCTGCTACTATACCGCGCTTTTCCTTTCAAGTGTATCCCTGAGTATTAATGAGTGACTGACCAGTTCTGAGCCAATTTATGAGAGACATTTTTTCATATTTTTGGAAAAAACTAAACTGGAAGTGACCTTAATACACTGGACGAAATACCCTAGATAATTCACGGGGATTCATTCTAAATTTTGGCGAAGATTTATATTTGCGAATTTTTTCAATTTCGCCAAATTAAAGCGGGCGCCAAATTAACCCAATCTACAGTATTCGTTCGACTTCACATTTAAAGAGAGCTTTGTTTATAACTAGACTATGCTCGGGGAAGAGTGCCACTAAGGATAAAAATGGAAAAAGTTGAGTTACCATGGATGGATAATAGATGGCGCTTGTAGATTTGGTTAGGCTTGATACCTTTACGCTTAAAATTAGAAATTAACAGCGCTATATTGTTGTTGCGTCATGTTGAGTGAGGAGCATATGGGCTTAGGAGGGAGGGATATGCGCCACATAAAACTTGTTATCAAGATTCCAGGAAAACCACTTACATGTTTAATTTGAAATTTTTACAGATGCAAGAGCAGAGTGGGGCCATTTTGCTAGATTTAAGTGTGACATTTATATTTATTACTGTCACACTGTCTGTGTGTTTTGTCTCAAGTTTAGCAAAGTTTAGTCACACCAATCACACTATCCAATGACAATTTGTCACACCAATAACAACAATTAATGCCATAATTTCTTTTCTAATTATCTCATATTTTCTTACACTTCAGATGCACTTCTAGATGAGCTGCACAGCACAACAAACAACATATCGTCATACCAACAGCATCAACAGAGACTTGCCTCACAATCTGGGAGCCTCACAGGAGACTATAGTACTATCCCAGACTCCCCTAGTCACACCAATGGAAATGACAGTCTAGATAGTCAACAGGTAAGAATTGTGGACTATTATGTGCAATGTCAACTTGTATTTTGGCCCCAAATTTCCGGATGAGGCAGATTTAAATAGATGAGGCAAAACTTGTTAAAAAAAGGACATTAAGGACTCCCCCCCCCAGAGGACCCTCAGCCCTTGTCTGGAATCTCTTAATAGCTTGCATTACCAATATAACCAAAAATGTAAAATGAGGAAAAGTTATGACAAACTTTGGGTAGAAATTAAGAAATGAGAATTTTGCAGATAGAGGAAAACCTGCGTAGAAAACTGCATTGCACTGCATAAACTGACTTGCTGGAATGAATCGATTTATTGGAATCAGAAAGGTGTAATTCCAGGAAATATCTGTTAAGGGGAGATAAGTTTTAAAAATGATTTGTCAATTAATCATAATTGATTAGTGTTTGAGAAGAATGGTGCCACTAGCCCTTACAATATATTACGCCACTAGCCCTTACAACATATTTTGTCACTAGCCCTTACAATATTGCTCAACTAGCCCTTACAATATATTACGCCACTAGCCCTTACAATATATTGTGCCCCTTAAAATTTATTGTGCAATTTATTGTGCCACTAGCCCTTACAATATATTTCGCCACTAGCCCTTACAATATATTGTGCCCCTTAAAATATATTGTGCCACTAGCCCTTAAAGTTTAATGTGCCTAAACCTCTTACATCATATGTTGCTACCAATCCTTTCAGAGTAACATGACATATTGAAAAAAAAATTCGCTGGACATAACAAATTTACATGGATTTAGAAAATTTGAAAATGTGATTATTTTGCAGTGACATTGAATTCAAAAATTCAGAATTTTATAACCTCATACATGTTTCTTGTGGCAGGCACCTATCTCATTTTATCTTGGAAACTCACTGAATTCATTTATAAACCTGAATGGCAACGAATGGTGCCAAAAAGTTGGTCTGCAATTCATAATCCCTCGTGAAGAATTTCTAGTAAGTTCGAATTAAATATTCTACAGCGCTCATTTTCTTAACAAAATGAAGACAAAGAACATTTTCTCGTTGGTTATATTATTTGAACTTTGAGAAAAAACTATGAGAAAAACTGTGAGAAAAAATTGAGAATTTTGCAGTTGTTACTTCCAAGAGTATGTTTATTGCCAGGGGTCAAATGTAGAATCAGGAAATAATTCAACTTTTCGGATTGTATCTCTCTTATTATCAAGCCAGTGTTAACCCTTGGATATTTTTAGCTTTTTTGTGGAAATAGATACGAAGGAAAACACAACCCAAAGTATATCAATTGACTTATTATACTCCTAGTCCCAACTTGGAGTTTATCTAATCAAATAAATTAAAACGATATCAATTTAAGAATTCCTTTTGATTGATTGAGATATTTGTGTGGGAATGCAAATTCTTTTCTGAACTTTATTTCCTAAAATTGGGTTCTAGGGAAGATGACACACAATGAGTTACCCTTTGCCAGAGAATTGAGTGTCCTACAACTCTTAAAATAATTGTTGATTACTAGATGAGCCAATCGAATTCTGCCATTGCCTAGTTACAGCAATTCCCTTGTACTGCGCATGTAAACAGTGAAACCTGTTAACATTTGTAGAAGTGGAACACCTCTGTTAGTGGAATACTTCAGAGTCTCATGACCAATTGACTTAATGTAAAATAAACCTCTATTTGGGGAACACCTCCAAAAGGGAACACATTTAGAGGTGCCAAAGGTGTTCCACTAATGCAGATTTTACTGTATTTAAAGGCAGAATCTGATCTATAGGGGGTGACAAAATTTCAAGCAACATGTATAATTGACCTACCAATCTGTTCCTTACAATATCAAATACAATATCGCCTAAAAGATTCACAATATGTTATATATTGGTGAAGTTATTAATGATTCATAGTGCAAAAATGAGTGAAAAATGTTTAAATTCTCCCAAATAATAAGAATGGTTACCATTCTTATAGAAAAATGATACATTATTGTAAAAATCTTTAGTTTTCCTGAAATAAAGTATGCACTTTTGTGATTTTTTAGAAAATAGACATGACAAGGAATGACATGAGCCAAAAATATTCTTAAATTGGAACAAGTTTTTGTTTAGCCTGCTCGCTATCTCTGATTCTCTCTTTAAATTATCAGCTTATTTCAATGGCTCTGTGGAGTTCTCTGGATGGTTGAATCGCATAAATAAAATCAGCAATTTTAATCAGAGTAATATACTTAGACATTAGCTCAGGGTATATTATGATTGTCATATTATTTATTGATCAAGGGTTATAAGTTTAAATTGACTATATTCATATTGTCTTTTAGTTCATTTCTGAATATTTCCCATGCAAAAAATGACATTAAAGTCATTGATATTTCATTCAATTTCTCCATTTGGTGTACCTGAATGCTATGGTGTTTTCACATTTTATGCAAGAGAGAGTGTTGGATACATGCCTGTTTACATTATTCCTTGCTAGTTTCCTTGCTATTTCCAATTCTGGACCCTATTTCAAAACAAGATCATATATCACAGAGATTTGTACATCACGAAGAGAAAAGCAGAACTCTCAGTGTCCGATTTAACATTGCATTAGTGGTTGAAACTGTATTGGATTTAAAGGTCACAAAATGCATGGATTTATGATAATTAGGGAAACAGTTTTTACAGGATTCAATCTAAAAGTAAACACACGTAAGTAGTTTGTAGTAAATATATAAGGTTAGCATAAATGTATCATTAATGATAGTGTAAAAAACTAGTGTTGAGGTTTGAAATGTGACTAATGGAGGTGTATAATAAAGAGTTCATGTATAGGAGAATGAATGAAAAAATATCAGCTACTATGCCTTTATAGTCTTTTTTCCTCAGTTCATTTATAGAATTTTCAGGCTTCTGGATAGAATCGTCCTTTTCAATAATTTTGCATTCTAAAGGGAGAGTTTACAAGCATCATTGGTTATTGTTTAACAGATGTTGAGGTGCTAAGTCAAAGAATTTGGTTTGTCCATCTGTGTAAATGTCAATATATGTAATATTACCTTTAGGCTAACCTCATAGTAGTGTTCAACCTAGTTGCTCAATGGCACCTTATCAGAAATCTCTACATTTTCCATGAAAATAGCATGAAATTAGCATGAAAAGGAGAGATCAAGAATTGAGAATTGTATCGTTTAAAAATGAGTAAAATGACCATAGACCATAGATACAAATAAAATCTTATGTTTATTTTAGATTTTTCAAAAACACAAATGTAATATGAAGAGTAAGTAGTGTAGTACTGATAAAAACTCTCTCACAAGTGATTTACGGCTGTTAAAGGTCAGGAATAGATATGGAGAAATGTTCTTCCAAATGTCTCAACTGTGATCGGCTGTTAACAATATATTCTGACGTACAGGGGTTTGATTAGAAATTCTCGGAACGGGCAAAACAATTGATAATTAAATAAATACAGAAAAAATATTAAAAACATTGAAACAGTTGAAATTGACAAAAAACAATTAAAAATACAAGCAAAATTATTAAATATAAATTTTCATTTAAGCAATTTAAAATACCTAAAAACTACAAGTAATTTTGGAAAGAGAGTCTGAGAGAGGAAAAAACTGTTCATTGCGAAGTCCTTATGAGAGAGGAATAATAATAACCACAAAGTTTGGAAAGGATTTCTTTGGATCTTCAAACAGTACAATCACTGGTTAATTCCATTTTGTATATACTTAACAAAGAGGACTCAAAATTTTTACAAGATGTTTTCAACTCAGCATCTTGCCTTGAGAATGAGAAACAACCAACCTGTACTTAATCACAAAGCTGATGCGGTTACCATGGTAACCATAACCCCAATATAGCTTGTGTTAAATTTTAGAGCTGTTGCCTTGGTGAAGCTCTATAGGTTATGTCTGAATCAACGCCTGCTGTTTATAAAAACGGATGTAAACCTAAAACTGGTGAAATCATTAGTGTCGTAGTAAAACCAGCAGAAAGGCTATCAACTGGGTTAGATAGTAACGAAAACATTGCTAAAAATACTAGAAGAAAACCAATACCGCCTCCCAGAGGAAAATCAAGGGAAATTAGAGGTAGTAAACGGAGTAACGAGGCTAGTAATCTCCCGAAATGTTTGGAAAATGCTGAGCTAATTGGCGTAGCGTTATGTATCTTTATGCCTAGGGCCGTATATACGAAGGTAAGCATTTAAGGTCAAGGAGAGTAAGAAAAAATTTTATCCGGAGGCTCAGAGTTTTGTGATAATTACTACCCTTAAGATAAATAGATATACAATTTAAGATGCTCTAAATGTACCTGACACTTAAATGAAGTTCACTTTTAAAAAATCAAAATATTGAAAAAGGTTAAAATATAGGAGGAAGTAAAAGAAAAAAAATCTGAAGAGCCTTTGTAAAAACTATGAAAAATATGAAAACTAGTAAAAAATCTTAAGGTACATCTGCATGATGACTATTTTCATGTAATTTTTATTATTACAATTAGCTTAGTGAAATATGTAATATTTTTTAAAATCTTGTGGATATTTTCACATACTTCTAAGTAGAACACCTGCGGCATCTTTAAAAAGTGTTCTACTTGGGAAGTGTTCCACTTAAATTGGTTCATTAAACCATTAAATCAGTTTGTCTTAGGACTCTAAATAGTGTTTGACTTGGGAGGTATTCTACTTCTAGAGGTTTGCTTCATATAGTATACTCGCAATGAGGACCACTAGATTTAACATGTTGGTCGCAAGTACTGAAATCTGGTTGCAAATGCGACCATTTCGAGTGCTTTCCAAAACCTCTGTTCATTTAAAGCATAAAGTCAGTTTGTCTTCGGATTCTAAATAGTGTTCGACTTGGGAGGTATTCTACTTCTAGAGGTGTTCTACTTTACAAGCTTCACTGTACATAGTTTAAAATCCAAATATTTTGATAGAATTATGTTCAAATGTCATCTCCACAAATTATTTTTATTCAGTTTTCTCAAGTGTAGAACTACCTTAATAAAAAGCAGGGAAGGGTCTGGCTCCCACATAAATGTATGATAGAATTCTGAATCTCACGATTTCTTAAAGCTCTATGTCGGTTGATGTTTTAGCATGAAAAAGACTGAAATTAGCACAAACTAAAATAGACTCAATTCAAACAGACATACAGTTACACTCAAAATTGTTTTAAAAGAAACTTTCAAAGATATAAGTATGCACTTTATACTAAAAAAAGTATTGAACGAGCGTGACCTTCATGATCTTTTTTCTTGTTTAAGAACGGAAATGTCATTCTGATAAAATATTTTATTTTGTCTATCTGTTTAATGTCTGTAAATTCCTGTACTATTTTTGCTCTATTTAAGTACATGCATAATAGCATATGATATCATAGTCATCCAGGTTTGTCTTGATGGGTTTGGTAATATTGTTTGAATGTTAGGTATTTACAGTAAACTGCCCCCCCCCCCAAAGACTGTTCCCACCTTCTAATAAGCATCCTGATAAACACCCCCCTCTAAATATAAGTTCATGGGTATAAGAAACACTTAACTAATAAACACCTTTTCATCACAAATGGATTATGAATGTAACATTTGCACCAACTTTAAGACCACAAGTTCTGAACCTGTTGATATTTTCACCATAAAAAGGAAAATGACAGAGGAACCTCATTCTGTACTAAAGAAAATGTATGTTTGAAAACCTCTTTATGTGAACACTTTTTCTTGGTCCCAAATCTATTATCTCTCATTGATTGACATCAGGAAACCTTGAAATATGAACATCTGCGAATTTGAACACTTTTGGCGTTTGAATTAGACACGTTTTACTGTTCATGTATCAAAGTTAGCCAGTAGGTGTAAAATTCCTCATGATGTAACTGGTGTCTCAAACACTCAAAAATGATAATTTAAAATTCTTCAAGGTCATTGTGTTTAACTACACAAATCAGGGGTGTTCATTAGCAACAGGCGATTTTCACCAGCTGTTTTCACAAATTTGCCTGTTTTTTAGGGACTTCAATGATTTACATTAATTTTGCCTGTTGTTTTCATTTATTAAGCCTGTTGTGAGAAATTCTAGTGAAACACCTGCAAATCTAGAGTTTAAAAGAGGAAATTGTTCTCACTTTATTTCTAATTTCTCAGAATGTACTTTGCTGTACTAGCCTGTATGGAATCCGAAGAGTTGGTCATGAGTTCAGGATCCATAACATAGGTAAATTCATGTTTGCCTAATTTAACAAAGGGCAACTCGTTTTCTAAGTTCAATGCCAAAAAATAATCGTTATTAGTATATTAGTCAGGTAGCTTTAGTTTTGGACTGGATGGGATGTTTTATTGCCTAAATATGGCTATTTGACCTTCTTATTTTAACATGATAGCAATAGACTAGCCACTATGTCTATTTGGTTATTTTCACATAGTACTATGTTTAAATGAATATATCAATTAGAAAACAAGTAATGATGCCATGAAGAGTCTAAGGAAATCTCTGAAGAATGCCAAGTCTAGAAATATTAAGAATAGCTAAGTAAACCAATATGTTGTGATCATCATGTGCTGATAGCAATTCTAAAGAATATGTGCTGATGGGCATGTCTTTAAATTGTGCTTACATTATGGAGAGATGCTGCTTTTGGAATTCTTTCTTAGTTAGGGATGATGTTAAGTAAGATGATGCTAAGTAAGCGATGGTGTCAGGAATTCTTGCTAAGTTAGAGATGATGTCAGGAATTATTGTTGCAAGTAAGGAATGGTGTCAGCAATTTTTGCTAAGTTGGGGATGGTATCAGGAATGGTGTCAGGAATTCTTGCTAAATAAAAGATGGTGTCAGGAATTCTTGTTGCAAGTATGGAATGGTGTCAGGAATTTTTGCTAAGTTGGGGATGGTGTCAGGAATGATGTCAGGAATTTTAGGGATGGTGTCAGGAATTCTTGTGAAGTTGGGGATGGTGTCAGGAATTTTAGGGATGGTGTCAAGAATTCTTGCTAAGTAAGAGATGGTGTCTGGAATTTTAGGGATGGTGTCAGGAACTCTTGATAAGTAAGATATGGTGTCAAGAATTTTAGGGATGGTGTCAGGAATTCTTGCTAAGTTGAGGATGGTGTCAGGCATGATGTCAGAAATTTTAGGGATGGTGTCAGAAATTCTTGCTAAATTTGGGATGGTGTCAGGAAGGGTAGCAGGATAGGTAGGAATTTGAAAGCATTGTGACCAGAATCAAGAATTTGTTAACTTATCTGATATTAAGGTTAGAATATGGAATTTTTGCAGTAAACCTGGAAAAATCTTCATCATGAACATGTTACGAAATTCTGACCATCTTTACCAGTTATTTTAGAAAAAAAATGTAGACACCTTGTAACTGCAATTTAATGTACAATAAACAGGTTTCACTGTATACCAGTTTGGTAGTGGATGTATGCATTGCTACTACTCTGTTTGTATTGAGAGGATATGTTGGTCTATTTAGCCTTCAGAACATTTTAGAACATTCATAGGAAGTTAAAAATTGCACTCAACTGGTTGAAAAATCACATATGGAGGATAATGTAGGAGATGGGAAAAGGTTATATGTTGCTGTATTTTCTGATGTATCAACTAAGAAACTAAGAGGCAAGTGATTTACACAGAATTTACATGAACATAGTTGCTGGAATTATATATAGAATCAGTGTATCAATTAGTTAATGCTTAAAATTCAGGGGTGAGGGGCTCAGTAGAATTTTTATTAACGGATGAAATGAATGATCAATTATGGGAAATATTGAAGCAGTTGCAATATTCCACAAAACAACATATGGTTCTGGACACCGAGAGACAAAAAACTACCATTGCCGATGTCTAGTAAAACAGTGAACATCTTTTTTTGAGCCGCAAAAATGTGTTCACTATCATACCCTTGCTGTAGATTAAAAAAGAACTTGGAACAAAGAATGGAAATTTTCAGAATGAAGGATGTCTAGACAAGTATATTAAAACGCTCTTTGTTGTAAACATATGCTAGAAACCTTATAAAGTAGGGCAGTTGCGATAACCTGGCACTTCCTTATGGTACCTTATATGGCACTCTTTACCATACTTCTTTTGCAGTGTCTAAGATGGAGAAAATCAGATATGTTAAACTAGTATATTTCTGATTAAAGCTTAGGTAACATGTAAACATTTATGGCAACTACTTTTCTAGAACCTGACTAAAATGATTAAAAACAAAATCTCATATTCATGTATTTCCAGCCAATATATGAAGTACAAACAATAAAGACTCAGCAGACAGCAACACAAAATCAGAGCAATTACGACAGCCAAGCGCAACCACAAGGGCATTACCCACACCCACAGCCCCCACCCCCACAGGCAGTGCAAGCACCACCCCCTGCGTCACCCCAGAAGATGACGACGTTAAGTAATAACCTATCTGAACTGGATATGCTGCTGCAGGATCTGAACTCTGCACAGTTCTTAGCAGAAGTTGATAGAAGAAATACAGGTTAGTGTCCCATATTAGCCAAAAATTCAAAAATTCAAAAATTTTATCTAGATTCTGCACAGTTCCTAGCAGAAGTTGATAGAAGAAATACAGGTTAGTGTCCCATATAAGCCAAAAATTCAAAAATTCAAAAATTTTATCTAGATTCTGCACAGTTCCTAGCAGAAGTTGATAGAAGAAATACAGGTTAGTGTCCCATATTAGCCAAAAATTCAAAAATTCAAAAATTTTATCTAGATTCTGCACAGTTCCTAGCAGAAGTTGATAGAAGAAATACAGGTTAGTGTCCCATATTAGCCAAAAATTCAAAAATTCAAAAATTTTATCTAGATTCTGCACAGTTCCTAGCAGAAGTTGATAGAAGAAATACAGGTTAGTGTCCCATATTAGCCAAAAATTCAAAAATTCAAAAATTTTATCTAGATTCTGCACAGTTCCTAGCAGAAGTTGACAGAAGAAATACAGGTGAGTGTCCCATATTAGCCAAAATTTCAGCCAACGCATTAAAATTTAAAATATCTCAATTCTGCACAGTTCTTAGCAGAAGTTGACCGAAGAAATACAGGTTAGTGTACCCTATTAGCCAAAATTTCAGGGAACGCATTAAAAATCCAAATTATCTCAATTCTGCACGTTCTTAACAGAGGTAGATAGAAGAAATACAGGTGAGTGTCCCATATTAGCCAAAATTTCAGCCAACGCATTAAAATTTAAAATATCTCAATTCTGCACAGTTCTTAGCAGAAGTTGACCGAAGAAATACAGGTTAGTGTACCCTATTAGCCAAAATTTCAGGGAACGCATTAAAAATCCAAATTATCTCAATTCTGCACGTTCTTAACAGAGGTAGATAGAAGAAATACAGGTCACTGTCCCATATTAGCCAAAATTTCAGCCAACGCATTAAAATTTAAAATATCTCAATTCTGCACAGTTCTTAGCAGAAGTTGACCGAAGAAATACAGGTTAGTGTACCCTATTAGCCAAAATTTCAGGGAACGCATTAAAAATCCAAATTATCTCAATTCTGCACGTTCTTAACAGAGGTAGATAGAAGAAATACAGGTTAGTGTACCCTATTAGCCAAAATTTCAGGGAACGCATTAAAAATCCAAATTATCTCAATTCTGCACGTTCTTAACAGAGGTAGATAGAAGAAATACAGGTCAGTGTCCCCTATTAGCCAAAAATTCAGGGAATGCATTAAAAATCCAAATTATCTCAATTCTGCACGTTCTTAACAGAGGTAGATAGAAGAAATACAGGTCAGTGTCCCCTATTAGCCAAAAATTCAGTCAACGCATTAAAATTCAAAATATCTCGATTCTGCACATTCTTAGCATCCTCCTAAGAATCAGGTATCCAGAATCCATACCTCCTTCTTCCCCCTGCATTAACCAATTTGAAAGCGCCTGATTTAACTGAATCAACTGATCTAATTATGCGCAATGACTTATACATGATTTCTGTCACAGTGTTGCGACAGCCAATCAGATTGCGAGTTCTTAATCGAAGGAAAAGGTAACTGCTTATCGCAGGGGGTAAAAAGAAAGAATATATTCTAAATTTTAAAGCCCTGTGATCAGAGGATGGTTCTTAGCAGAGGTAGATAGATGAAATACAGGTTGGTGTCTCTTACACCAAAAAACACAATGTCAATAAAACAGTCCAATAAACCAGAAAATCATTAAGATTTTGTCAAGTTTGTAATGAGGTGCCCATTGATAAACTCAATATGGACACTTTTCCAGTCCCATTTTTTATCTGACCAAGACTTTCATGCCAATCCAAACACTTAGTCCCTTAGTCCATGTGTTGTTCAGAATTAGACATTTTTAATTGTATTGCTAATCAGATTATCAATTGTTTTTCAGAATTGAAATTATATCATTTTTCACAAATATTGTAATATTGTAAAATGACCTGATGTACTTGTATACAAAGTTATAAAGTGAGAAATATATACATGATTTAAAAAAAAAATTGTGTTTCAGCCAATGTCCAGCAGTCGCCCCCACCTGTACAAGATGGCCGCCCTTCAGTGGATAACCTGCTCGATGACCTTCAACGCTCAGTTCCAGCTTCCCCTTATAGGTGGGTCTTCATTTGATTCTAAATTATAGAATGTATAGGTATCCAAAAGTAGTAGATTTGCCCATGAGACATTTGGTTGCACTTGGCCTTTAGCCCTTATCCAAAGTATCTCCAAGCATTTCATCCAGTGCAATTGCGCCTCTTTCCTTCTCTCTGCAGACGCTTGATTTATAGGGGAATCTCAATTGCCTCAAAACCAATCACACATTGCATCACATGCTATCACAAAATATCATGAGCATGTCAAGATAGATTTTGTGCCTCTTTACTTCTCCATGCGTCTTGATTTCTTTGAAATCCATGTGAAATTCCAGTTTACAACCTCATTTGATACAAGCTAATGGGGAAGTGTTTCACATATGGAGGCGTTCTCTTTACAGGTTTTACTGTTCTAAAATATTTTAAGTGTCATTCACTGATACCAGAAGATCATTTCTTAGTACTAAATTGAAACTTGGAATGAATACAAAATATTGTTGTTTAGCAAAGTTGTATGTTTAAGGAGCAAAGACAATTTACAGAATGAATTATAAACATCCTTTGGCCTCATGTCATTTTCTTTTGTTTTCTTACTAATTTCAAAACATAAGATAATTTTCAACAACTGTTACATGTGTTTCTGGTTTAAATATTTATAAACACATTTGTGTAATATACAGTAAAATCTTCAGATATGAACACCTCTTATATAAACACCTTCCTTTTAATGTAACACTTCCTGATGTGAACAAGTTTCTCATTCCTTTTTCTGAACAATTTCCTCATTCCTTTTTCTGAACTATTTTCTCATTCCTTTTTCATCATCCCACTATTAACCTAATATTAACTTTTTCTCATGATTTTGTACATATTTACACAACATTTAAATGAAAAAGCTGATTATGGATGTTTTTGTGCTTGTATCCAGGACTATTTAGAGATTTTACTAATACTCATATATAAATCATTTTATATATCTTAAAATTGTTTATCATAATTTCAGTACTGTTAACCAGGCCAAAGCAATGAACCAGTCACCAATGCATCAAACAAAAACAGTCAGAACTGTTACCACGACAACTGTTCATAATGACAACCAACAACAGGGCTTGCCTCCTCAACAACAGGGCATGTCTTTACAGCAACAGGGCATGGTTTCTCAACAACAGGGCATGTCCCAGCAACAGGGCATGTCTCAGCAACAACAGGGCATGTCTCAAGGTTATGCTGCAGTTGGTCAAGTTTCTCCTCCAGTTCAGGGAAGTTACGCTGCTGTTGGACAAGTGTCGCCACCTATGCAAGGCACATCGGGACCAGCTGCGTCCACGGCAACGAGAGAACTTGATGACCTCATGAACTCTTTATCTGAATTTAAAGTGAGTTGATTTCACGTCAGATGCAAAGTTAACGATAACAGTTGCAATAATATGTGTTTTAGAGTTGATTATATGAAACCTAATTGAGTCATATGGTGTTTTCATTTGTTGAGATATGTCATTCTTATACTGCTAACAAGTTCTAATTTTGATATAGGGTCTAAATTTGATACATGCTTAAAGAATAAGGACCTTTTAAATTTCAATAGTTGTTGTAAATAACTGAGAAAATTTGAAAATTTAAAGGCAAACAATTAATTTTCAAAAATGGCTGTCTGGGTCTGTAACATCATTTGGTGGTCAGCGTCTGTAACAAATGGCAGTTGTTGACATTTTACATACCTTTTTAGGTATTGTATTGTTTGTTTGTTTATTGTTTATATCTCTGATTTATTTAGATCAATGCCAACAAGGGACCAGCTCCCCAGCATGTTGGAGAACCAGCGTACGCTCTGCCAAATAAGGCGCGTGTCACATCCCAGGATGCAACAGGGAGCTCCATGTCCGCAACAACATCCTCGTCCCAACATACTAATGCCGTGCAGGGTGGTGGGGGTGGCGCTGGGGAAGGAGGCGCAGCAATGATGCATAGCCAGGTCCAGCATGTCCACCAGGGGGCAGTAACGAGTCAGGGCCCCCGTGGTAGCCAACAATTGGACACGATGCTAGGCAACCTACAGTCTGATATGAACAAACATGGTGTAGCAACTATACCAAAAGGTCATTGTGCAGCATGTAGCAAACCCATAGTGGGACAGGTACCAGTGGAGATATCTTGTAATTCATAAAGGGAAATAACTCTTGTGTGAAAATTGAAAATATTTCGGAAAAAATACTGGATGATATAACTTATTGGTCATTTTCAAAAACTGGGGATGATCAGTATCAAATGAAAAGGATATTGCTCATGGTGATTTTTATTAAGTTTACACCTGTAGAATCAGAACGTTTGTGATTGTTGTAGTTTTGTGGGTGTTATCACCCATTTTTCAAAATGGCGGCCAAAATGCTTGTTTCCACATGTATGTTTCAAGTTAGTATATTTATTAATTAAGGTGATTACTGCGCTCGGCCGCATCTGGCATCCTGAACATTTTACGTGCGTCCAGTGCCACGAAGAACTGGGGACCCAGAACTTCTTTGAAAGGGACAGCCTTCCGTACTGTGAGAAGGACTACCATCAATTGTTCTCCCCACGCTGTGCATACTGTGGAGGTCCCATACTGGATGTAAGTGTATTTTTTGTTTTGTTCTAACAATATCAATTACTAATATTTAGAATTCTGCAAGTTAAAGGCACACTTGCAACTCCACCTATTTATAAGTTCAGGAACTACATGTAATGACAAAAATACAAATTTAAAAAGCCAAACAATTTTTATATTCATCAACCCTTGATGGATGTTACAGATCTTAGAAGTCATTTTTGGTAACCTAAACAAGTCCTGCTTACCATAAAGTCAAGTTTACCTTGGTAAGCATTACTTTTGACCTGCCAAAATGAGACACTGCTACTTTGTAGAATAATGCCCATATATGGTATGAATATTACATAGAAATTTCATGCAGAAATATGAATAACTGCAAATATGAGAATTGAACAATATGTTTTAGAAATGTGTGACAGAATTAGACAAGACATGGCACCCTGAGCATTTCTTCTATGTCATATGTGTACTATACTCTTTATATTTTAGAAATGTGTGACAGCCTTGGACAAGACATGGCACCCTGAGCATTTCTTCTATGCCGTATGTGTACTATACTCTTTCTATTTTAGAAATGTGTAACAGCCTTAGACAAGACATGGCACCCTGAGCATTTCTTCTATGTCATATGTGTATTATACTCTTTATACTTTAGAAATGTGTGACAGCCTTAGACAAGACATGGCACCCTGAGCATTTCTTCTATGCCATATGTGTACTATACTCTTTATATTTTAGAAATGTGTGACAGCCATAGACAAGACATTGCACCCTGAGCATTTCTTCTATGCCGTATGTGTACTATACTCTTTATATTTTAGAAATGTGTGACAGTCTTAGACAAGACATGGCACCCTGAGCATTTCTTCTATGCCATATGTGTACTATACTCTTTATATTTTAGAAATGTGTGACAGCCATAGACAAGACATTGCACCCTGAGCATTTCTTCTATGCCGTATGTGTACTATACTCTTTATATTTTAGAAATGTGTGACAGTCTTAGACAAGACATGGCACCCTGAGCATTTCTTCTATGCCATATGTGTACTATACTCTTTATATTTTAGAAATGTGTGACAGTCTTAGACAAGACATGGCACCCTGAGCATTTCTTCTATGTTATATTTGTACTATACTCTTTACATTTTAAAAATGTGTGACAGTCTTAGACAAGACATGGCACCCTGAGCATTTCTTCTATGTTATATGTGTACTATACTCTTTATATTTTAGAAATGTGTGACAGTCTTAGACAAGACATGGCACCCTGAGCATTTCTTCTATGTAATATGCGTACTATACTCTTTATATTTTAGAAATGTGTGACAGCCTTAGACAAGACATGTCACCCTGAGCATTTCTTCTATGCCATATGTGTACTATACTCTTTATATTTTAGAAATGTGTGACAGTCTTAGACAAGACATGGCACCCTGAGCATTTCTTCTATGCCATATGTGTACTATACTCTTTATATTTTAGAAATGTGTGACAGCCTTAGACAAGACATGGCACCCTGAGCATTTCTTCTATGCCATAAGTGTACTATACTCTTTATATTTTAGAAATGTGTGACAGCCTTAGACAAGACATGGCACCCTGAGCATTTCTTCTATGCCGTATGTGTACTATACTCTTTATATTTTAGAAATGTGTGACAGCCTTAGACAAAACATGGCACCCTGAGCATTTCTTCTATGCCATATGTGTACTATACACTTTATATTTTAGAAATGTGTGACAGCCTTAGACAAGACATTGCACCCTGAGCATTTCTTCTATGTCATATGTGTACTATACTCTTTATATTTTAGAAATGTGTGACAGCCTTAGACAAGACATGGCACCCTGAGCTTTTCTTCTATGTCATATGTGTACTATACTCTTTATATTTTAGAAATGTGTGACAGCCTTAGACAAGACATGGCACCCTGAGCTTTTCTTCTATGTCATATGTGTACTATACTCTTTATATTTTAGAAATGTGTGACAGCCTTAGACAAGACATGGCACCCTGAGCTTTTCTTCTATGTCATATGTGTACTATACTCTTTATATTTTAGAAATGTGTGACAGCCTTAGACAAGACATGGCACCCTGAGCTTTTCTTCTATGTCATATGTGTACTATACTCTTTATATTTTAGAAATGTGTGACAGTCTTAGACAAGACATGGCACCCTGAGCTTTTCTTCTATGTCATATGTGTACTATACTCTTTATATTTTAGAAATGTGTGACAGCCTTAGACAAGACATGGCACCCTGAGCATTTCTTCTGCGCCCAATGTGGTCGACCATTCAATGATGAAGGTTTTCATGAGAAAGAGGGGAAAGCCTTTTGCAGGTAAGGGTTTCAGGTTAAATTACATAGTGATCGACTTAATTCACTGAGTAAGTGAATAAGATGTAAGAAATCAAGTAAGCATCGTGGTTCAAAGTTGTTAGTAGAGACTGTAAAGTAAAATTTCCTAAATAAATTGTACATGTTACAATCATTTTCTCTCATGAGAGACAATTTGTGACAAAGTTCGACAAATCATTTTCTCATAAGGGACATCTTACAAATTATTTCCTCTCATGAGCAACATGTTACACTTCACATGTTACACTTCATTTTTTCTTATGATCATATGTTATACATGTTTTTCAGGGAAGACTATTTCGAGATGTTTGCTCCAAAATGTGGAGGTTGTAATCGACCAATCATGGACAACTATATCTCGGCTCTGAATCGCCAGTGGCATCCAGAGTGTTTCGTTTGTCAGGTATGGGGATATGTTGCTTCAATTAAAGTAATATAGCAAAAGATAAGGAGTTTCATAGGGATATCAATAAAGCTGTTTCATAGGGAGATAAAGCTGTTTCATAGGGAAATAAAGCTGTTTCGTAGGGAAGTAAAGCTGTTTCATAGGGAAGTAAAGCTGTTTCATAGGGAAGTAAAGCTGTTTCATAGGGAAATAAAGCTGTTTCATAGGGAAGTAAAGCTGTTTCATAGGGAAATAAAGCTGTTTCATAGGGAAGTAAAGCTGTTTCATAGGGAAATAAAGCTGTTTCATAGGGAAGTAAAGCTGTTTCATAGGGAAATAAAGGTGTTTCATAAAAAGATAAAGCTATGGGACATACATGTAGTAGTCCGGCAGCCAAAGTGTAAAAAATTGAGTGTCCTTGTTTTGTCTCATTAAGTTTTTTTGTCTGCAGATTATGCATAGTAAGGGTACCTGTAGTGATATCTGGGTGGGTGTAGAGGTCTCAGGCATTAATTACTGAAAAATATTTTGTTTCAGGAATGTCGAATCCCATTTGGGGGTGGCAGTTTCTTTGACCACGATGGGCTTCCTTATTGTGAGACCCATTACCATGCAAGGCGGGGATCGCTATGTGCTACCTGTAACAAACCAATCACTGGCCGTTGCATCACCGCCATGTACAGGAAATTTCATCCTGAACATTTTGTCTGTGCGTTCTGCTTGAAGCAACTGAACAAAGGAACGTTTAAGGAGCAGAATGACAAGCCGTATTGTCATCCATGCTTCGTCAAGTTGTTCAGTTAATTCCTGAAAATTCAGGAATCCTCCCTGGAAATTCTGAAAGGAAACCACTGTAATGTGATGCTGTTCATAGTAATAATAGTCATATTCAAATTTGAAGAACTTGTACACTCTATTTCACCGTGATTATTACAATGAAAATTACGCTGTTTTTAGATTCATAATTTTGGAATACATCACATCACATTAAAACAGGATTATTACTTCTGGGACAACCCTCGTATCACATCACATTAAAACAGGATTATAATTTAAAGGAATACCAAGGTGCTGTTTTTTCTATTGAGGAATATCTCTGGTTTAGGATGTTGCGATTCTGAGTTCTCAAGTACATGGGCACTCAGCATCGTTTCAAAACACGCAGAGAAGTTGGAATATTCATTTAAAAGCAATATGTGTATGAAATAATACTTGAAACCTGGCGACAATTCTAATTTTATTCACATAGCTATTCAAAGAGCAATAAATGTCCGATTTTGGCAAGTAGAAATGATGTATTCTGCTCATCAAATTAGTGAAATTTGTAAGTTATGTGAAAAAGCTGATTTTGCGGAAATTCTCAGCATTATAAGATGAAAACGAATGTGAAAATTGAAGATTTTGTGATATTTTTGATTCTAATGAAATATCGTGATAGTACATCTAGATACCAGAGTAATAGAAATAGTGGAAAAAGTGGAAAAAGTATCAATAACTTTGTTTAAGGAATATGTGCTCCACACTTTTAGTTCACCTTCTGCCAAGTGTTGATCATCACTGCACTTCACTGTGGATATACGATATATGGAATATTATGAAAGAAATATGACTAAATGGATTAAAAATTACATACAATTTACGCATCAGTAAATACCTTGAAACCTGATAAGGATCCAGTAAGCAAAACACTGCCGTTTAAATTGGATATATTACTGGCCGAACTGGGTGGTGCCAAAACTACATGCTGCCCTTCAAAGTGGATATGATACCTCTAGATATTTCTGATGTCATCTTTTAAGGAGTGTTTAGATAACCCATATCCCACCTTTACTTTAATTACACCTTGGAATACAACTCAGAATATTTATGGAAAAAGAACCAGCATCTAGATACACATTTTCTATACTTCAAATGGTAGATATTGGTTTAAAAATGTGTTTTTCCAGTCAAAGGTATTTATTCACATTGAAATTCAATCAAAGAAACTCCACATACTATGTGGGTCCTTCAAAGGTTTATTTAACTACCATCTATATTAATAGATTCTATTTAACAAATTAAATTCATCTACAAAATGCAGTGATCTCCCCAGCATTATAGAAAATGGGTGCAACCCTTTAATGATAGGCTTGCACCCACCTGGGAATCTATTTGCACCCACTTGAAAATGAATAGAAACCATGAAAAATAGGCATATGTTGACAAGTTTTGGTCTTAATTGTGAGAATAAGAAATGTGCACCCATTTGAGAAAAACTCCTGAGAAGAACACTAAAATGATATCAGGAATTGGTTGAAAATTAAGTGATGTTTGAGGAAGCAATATAACTAGTAAAATATCTGTACTAGAGAATTAAAGTGGCAGCAAAAGGTATAGAGTCAAATAGTTGAGTAAAATGTTTGATTGAAATGTTGAGTAAAATATTAGTAAAATATTTGATTAAAATGTTTAGTAAAATATTTGAATCTTTTCAACAAACATGCCAATGCATTTCTTATTGATTCTAAATTATTTCCAAATATCTTTAAAAAGTTGATCAATATGAAGACATAGTCATGAAATAAAGTCAACTCTTGGACCTTTGAAAAAAGATATGATGAAGAAAGACTTGAGTAAAAAATATTGTGAACATTTTTTCATTAAGTGCTCATCAACTTCACTCTATTTTTTGTTGCCTCTTTAATTAACAAAATTAATTAATAAAATTAATATTATTTAGCTAAACTGGCTACATGCCAGTATAGAATTTAGCTATGAGTGATATAGGACATATGCAATATATATTTGGAATATAAGAATATGAAGACATATATGTATATAAGTATAAACTATTATCATATACTATGCCATACCATAGTTGTTGTTACCATGGTAACTAGAATAAAGCAATAGTAGAAATGGTTAGGTAAATTGAAAGTGAGTCACCACATATTGGTTCTTCACCAGCATGAATCACCAGATATAGATGCTCATCGAGATAATGTAGTTTTCTTGGAAATCTTTACAAGTTTTCATTCAACTCATTGAAGAACTGATATCATTGAACATTTTGAGCCAATATGTGGTAAGTTATTGATATGACGTCAAGTCAATCAACTTAGAGGGTGAAGCTCATTGGTCGATTTATATATTGTGAATTGAAAAAACAAGTACAATTATGAGCTGACTGTAGCAATATTAGTTTTTTATCTGCTTTTTATGTAATTTTAAATGCAAATGATCGCCAAATTTTTTAGCCCAAAAGTGAGTGGTTATAATTTAATGGTATGTGTTACACAGGACGGTTTAATTGCTTCATCATGAAGCATTTCGACAAAGAAAGCTTCAAAATGAAGGATTTTGTTCCTGTTTAACACTAAAATATGTCAACCATGGAATAAATGTAATCCATAGATCATTTTCATCAAGAAATAATATTCTTAGAATTACATTCAACCCATAATGCACCATTCAGCTGTTTCAAAGTTTCCGTGAGACCCCCATAATATGCATTTCAAAGTCCCAAATTGGGGGCTAAGTATTTTGTCAAAATCCCAAAATGGTGCATAAATTATAAGATTAAATTATAAGAATATTTAGCATGACTTTAATTGTTCATATTTAAAGGGTCTTCTTTAACAAATATGTTCGAAGAACGTGCATCACTTATTGGATATATTTTTAATTAATTACTGTAATATTCAATAAATCTACTTACATGACTTACTATATGATTACAAGTATATTGAAGTCTTTTGATGGTGCAAGCAAGATCATTTATTAAAAACTTAAAGTTACATTGTCCCTTTAAATGTCCCCTTTCATATATTTGTCGATTAAAGGGACATCTTTATGATTATAATTAATAATAATACTTCTTGTGTACAATAGCTTTAGATATTATTAAATTAAATGAATTATATTATGCAATTCACAAATATATGTTATGATATTGTTTTGTTATGAATATAAATATATATGGGCTTGGAAGAATAAATTCTTGTATGACATTTTAAGTATGAAATATGTTGTGTCTATTTCTTTTGAATTTACGTGGTTAAAAGACCATGTCCAATAATCAAGAGTTGTGAAAGAACTAAATTAAACTCTAAATCTGATATCTCTCAATATATTAACTTTTTCTGGGTCCCAATCTTACTATCTTCCATTGATTCACATAGTGAAAAACCTTAAAATGTGAACACTTGCATATCTGAACAATTTAAACCAGTCCTAGTTATGTAAATGGATAAGACAGGTTTTACTGTATTACTTTCTTGAGTGTATTTTCTGAGGGTAACACCTGGCATAATGACGTTATTCCCTGGGTCAATGTTTTGAATGTGCCAACTCCATCAATGAATTTCTCCCATGTGATTGGTTGGTCCAGCAAAGACGTACTTAAATCAATCTAGAATCAATAACTACTGACCTGCAAAAATCTAAGACAAAATACTAGAATTAATCCTATTATTATGAACAAAGCTTATTATTATGAACAAAGTGTATTATTACGAACAAAGCATATTATTATGAACAAAGCATATTATAATGAACAAAGCATATGATATATGTTGATCTGGTTCATTGGTAAGATCAAAGGCCTAGGGAAAAGAAGTAAGTAAGAAGTAGAAGATTATCTTTAATATTTTGTTTTTGACCATTCCTGTTGATGATGTTAAATTTAAATTAAATTCAGGAATGAAGCTCAACTTGCCCCTGATTTAATGTCCCTAGTAAATCAAGATGCAGGTTACATTTTTAAAAACTCATGTTTGCTTACACCATTGCTATTTTTATTTGTACCAAAAAGTACAACTCTCAGTTCAGTGGAAAACAAAAATCAAAAATATAATCTATTTCCTCCCCTTTTCTTCGCTGATATTACAACTTCTAGTCAGGTACTGTTTGTTTTTTAGCTTTGATTATGATGAGATAGTGTTCATAAGCATGCATGAGCTCCATTGATCTTTTAATATGAGATACAGTACTTATTACAGTCTAAATTATCCAACTCTCATTCATTTTCAATTTTCTCAAAAATCAAGGATCTTTCTCTTAGTCTTTGGCAAATAAACAACAGCTGAGTCATCATGACTTAGGAGATTTTTTAAGCATTATGATCCAGGTGATTTTAGTTAAGACCTCATAATCAAGATTCTAGATAAGATCTCATTACTTGACTAATTATCAACGCAATAGACTATAGATAATACTAGATACTGTATCTGCTGTGGCTTGTATTGGACAAGGCAAGATATGCCTAGTTTAGATAGATTAGAATCTGTCTTCAAAATGCATAACATAGCAATAAGGTAAGTTTCACAATTTTAAATCATGTTTGTCAATTTTCATTATTTCTGTTGCCTGGGACATCTAGAAATCTTTGGATGGATTGATCATTCTTAATAAGACTCTGGCAGGTAAGGAAACTGTCAGTGAAACCAGAGATTAACATAACGTTGATACGACCTAAAATGATTGAGCATAAGCTGAGATTGATTGATTTATGTTTTATGATTTTATAATAGAACCCTGCAACCACAAAGTTGATGATGTAACTCACATCCTTATACGGGTAAGTGGGTACGAGGTATGACATGTTTCATATAAAGCCTAAAAAATTGGGTTGTTCATTGAATACACCTGTCCTTAACCATGGCACATTTATTGGAATGATCCAAACTGATAACAGTTATAACCAGAGACCTCTGCTGAAAACATGATCAACTAAATCTCAGTTTGATTGACTATGATTCCTTACATTGACTTGTTCCCCCGCATGACAATGATAGTTACTAAAATGGTTATTTTTACCAAAATGGTTATTGTTACCAAATTGGTTATTGTTTAAAATGGTTATTGTTACCAAAATGGTTATTGACACCAAATTCTCCATTTCCCGCTTCGCTCTTTAATCAAGAAGATGTTATAAATTAAATATGTACTTAAAAAGCCCCCCAAAATGCATTTCGCATAGCATAACTAATTTTGTTTTAACACCTGAATGCTAAATAGAACAGTGACACCATCGGCTGTATTGTTTTTCGTCATTACTATAACGGTCAGTATACAGAGTATAATCAAACATAGGGATTGAAAAATAGGTTGGAAAATCAACATACTAAACCAATGAGGAAAAAACAAGGAAGTAAGAATTTGTTTTCCAGCAAATCACATCATGGGTAATATTTTGTCCACTTAAGGAAAGACTTCAGTTTCTCCTTGTTTGAAGAGCAAACCACAATGGGAGAATTGGTTGTAGTTATCAAAATGGTCATTGTTTATCAAAATGGTTATTGTTTATCAAAATGGTTATTGTTTATCAAAATGGTTATTGTTTATCAAAATGGTCATTGTTTATCAAAATGGTTATTGTTTATCAAAATGGTTATTGTTTATCAAAATGGTTATTGTTTATCAAAATGGTTATTGTTTATCAAAATGGTTATTGTTTATCAAAATGGTTATTGTTTATCAAAATGGTCATTGTTTATCAAAATGGTTATTGTTTATCAAAATGGTTATTGTTTATCAAAATGGTTATTGTTCATCAAAATGGTTATTGTTTATCAAAATGGTTATTGTTTATCAAAATGGTTATTGTTCATCAAAAGTGTTATTGTTCATCAAAATGGTTATTTTTTATCAAAATGGTTATTGTTTATCAAAATGGTCATTGTTTATCAAAATGGTCATTGTTTATCAAAATGGTCTTTGTTTATCAAAATGGTTATTGTATATCAAAATGGTTATTGTTCATCAAAATGGTTATTGTTTATCAAAATGGTTATTTTTTATCAAAATGGTCATTGTTTATCAAAATGGTTATTTTTTATCAAAATGGTTATTTTTTATCAAAATGGTCATTGTTTATCAAAATGGTTATTTTTTATCAAAATGGTTATTGTTTATCAAAATGGTTATTGTTTATCAAAATGGTTATTGTTCATCAAAATGGTTATTTTTTATCAAAATGGTTATTGTTTATCAAAATGGTTATTGTTTATCAAAATGGTTATTGTTCATCAAAATGGTTATTTTTTATCAAAATGGTCATTGTTTATCAAAATGGTTATTTTTTATCAAAATGGTTATTTTTTATCAAAATGGTCATTGTTTATCAAAATGGTTATTTTTTATCAAAATGGTTATTGTTTATCAAAATGGTTATTGTTTATCAAAATGGTTATTGTTTATCAAAATGGTTATTGTATATCAAAATGGTTATTGTTCATCAAAATGGTTATTGTTTATCAAAATGGTTATTTTTTATCAAAATGGTCATTGTTTATCAAAATGGTTATTTTTTATCAAAATGGTTATTTTTTATCAAAATGGTCATTGTTTATCAAAATGGTTATTGTTTATCAAAATGGTTATTGTTTATCAAAATGGTTATTGTTTATCAAAATGGTTATTGTTTATCAAAATGGTCTTTGTCTATCAAAATGGTTATTGTTTATCAAAATGGTTATTGTTTATCAAAATGGTCTTTGTTTATCAAAATGGTCTTTGTTTATCAAAATGGTTATTGTTTATCAAAATGGTTATTGTTCATCAAAATGGTTATGGTTCATCAAAATGGTTATTGTTCATCAAAATGGTCATTGTTTATTAAAATGGCCATTGTTTATCAAAATGGTCATTGTTTATTAAAATGGTCATTGTTTATTAAAATGGTCATTGTTTATCAAAATGGTTATTGTTTATCAAAATGGTTATTGTTTATCAAAATGGTTATTGTTTATCAAAATGGTTATTGTTCATCAAAATGGTTATTGTTCATCAAAATGGTTATTGTTTATCAAAATGGTTATTGTTCATCAAAATGGTTATTGTTCATCAAAATGGTTATTGTTCATCAAAATGGTTATTGTTCATCAAAATGGTCATTGTTTATCAAAATGGTCATTGTTCATCAAAATGGTTATTGTTCATCAAAATGGTTATTGTTTGTTATTGTTTACCATAACGGCTATTGTTAGAAATGGTTATTGTAACCAAAATGGTTATTTTTAACAAATCGGTTGTAGTTATCAAAATGGTTATTATTATCAAATTGGTCAGTATACAGAGTATAATCAAACATAGGGATTGAAAAATAGGTTGGAAAATCAACATGCTAAACCAATGAGGAAAAAACAAGGAAGTAAGAATTTGTTTTCCAGCAAATTACATCATGGGTAATATTTTGTCCATATAAGGAAAGACTTCAGTGTCTCCTTGTTTGAAGAGCGAACCACAATGGGAGAATTGGTTGTAGTTATCAAAATGGTTATTGTTCATCAAAATGGTTATTGTTCATCAAAATGGTTATTGTTCATCAAAATGGTTATTGTTTATCAAAATGGTCATTGTTCATCAAAATGGTCATTGTTTATCAAAATGGTTATTGTTTATCAAAATGGTCATAATTTATCAAAATGGTTATTGTATATCAAAATGGTTATTGTTCATCAAAATGGTTATTGTTCATCAAAATGGTTATTGTTTATCAAAATGGTCATTGTTTATCAAAATGGTTATTGTATATCAAAATGGTTATTGTTCATCAAAATGGTTATTGTTCATCAAAATGGTTATTGTTTATCAAAATGGTTATTGTTTATCAAAATGGTCATTGTTCATCAAAATGGTTATTGTTTATCAAAATGGTCATTGTTCATCAAAATGGTCATTGTTTATCAAAATGGTTATTGTTCATCAAAATGGTCATTGTTTATCAAAATGGTCATTGTTTATCACAATGGTTGTTGTTTATCAAAATGGTCATTGTTCATCAAAATGGTCATTGTTCATCAAAATGGTCATTGTTTATCACAATGGTTGTTGTTTATCAAAATGGTTATTGTTCATCAAAATGGTTATTGTTTATCAAAATGGTTATTGTTTATCAAAAGGGTTATTGTTTATCAAAATGGTCATTGTTCATCAAAATGGTCATTGTTCATCAAAATGGTCATTGTTCATCAAAATGGTCATTGTTTATCACAATGGTTGTTGTTTATCAAAATGGTCATTGTTCATCAAAATGGTCATTGTTCATCAAAATGGTCATTGTTTATCACAATGGTTGTTGTTTATCAAAATGGTTATTGTTCATCAAAATGGTTATTGTTTATCAAAATGGTTATTGTTTATCAAAAGGGTTATTGTTTATCAAAATGGTCATTGTTCATCAAAATGGTCATTGTTCATCAAAATTGTCATTGTTCATCAAAATGGTTATTGTTCATCAAAATGGTTATTTTTTATCAAAATGGTTATTGTTTATCAAAATGGTTATTGTTTATCAAAAGGGTTATTGTTTATCAAAATGGTCATTGTTCATCAAAATGGTCATTGTTTATCACAATGGTTGTTGTTTATCAAAATGGTTATTGTTCATCAAAATGGTTATTGTTTATCAAAATGGTTATTGTTTATCAAAAGGGTTATTGTTTATCAAAATGGTCATTGTTCATCAAAATGGTCATTGTTCATCAAAATGGTCATTGTTCATCAAAATGGTCATTGTTCATCAAAATGGTTATTGTTCATCAAAATGGTCATTGTTCATCAAAATGGTCATTGTTTATCACAATGGTTGTTGTTTATCAAAATGGTTATTGTTCATCAAAATGGTTATTGTTTATCAAAATGGTTATTGTTTATCAAAAGGGTTATTGTTTATCAAAATGGTCATTGTTCATCAAAATGGTCATTGTTCATCAAAATGGTCATTGTTCATCAAAATGGTCATTGTTCATCAAAATGGTTATTGTTCATCAAAATGGTCATTGTTCATCAAAATGGTCATTGTTTATCACAATGGTTGTTGTTTATCAAAATGGTTATTGTTCATCAAAATGGTTATTGTTTATCAAAATGGTTATTGTTTATCAAAATGGTTATTGTTTATCAAAATGGTCATTGTTCATCAAAATGGTCATTGTTCATCAAAATGGTCATTGTTCATCAAAATGGTCATTGTTCATCAAAATGGTTATTGTTCATCAAAATGGTTATTTTTTATCAAAATGGTTATTGTATATCAAAATGGTTATTGTTTATCAAAATGGTCATTGTTTATCAAATTGGTCATTGTTTATCAAAATGGTTATTGTATATCAAAATGGTTATTGTTCATCAGAATGGTTATTGTTTATCAAAATGGTTATTGTTTATCAAAATGGTCATTGTTTATCAAAATGGTTATTGTTTATCAAAATGGTTATTGTTTATCAAAATGGTTATTGTTTATCAAAATGGTTATTGTTCATCAAAATGGTTATTGTTCATCAAAATGGTTATTTTTTATCAAAATGGTTATTGTTTATCAAAATGGTCATTGTTTATCAAAATGGTCATTGTTTATCAAAATGGTCTTTGTTTATCAAAATGGTTATTGTTCATCAAAATGGTTATTGTTCATCAAAATGGTTATTGTTTGTTATTGTTTACCATAACGGCTATTGTTAGAAATGGTTATTGTTTATCAAAATGGTTATTGTTTACCATAACAGCTATTGTTAGAAATGGTTATTGTAACCAAAATGGTTATTTTTACCAAATCGGTTGTAGTTATCAAAATGGTTATTACTATCAAATTGGTTATTGTTATTAAAATGGTAATTCATGTGTAACATGTGTATCATTGTGTCAGTTCAAAGCAGGCTATTTCATTTTGAAATCTCTCTGAAGTATGATTGTTTTATATACTCAAATGATGTGATGGTATGATTTGTTTGTTTGGATTTGCTACTCAGTGGAGTAGCCATTTTTGAGTTGGCCTCTAATAATCCTTTCCCCTGTCTTGCCCAACAAGTCTGATTTCCAAACATTTCACATATACTTCTCACTGCCCCAAAATTTATCCAGGTTTTATGGAATTTTGCTCAAATCATCTTTTAATTCTTGATGCTGCATCAGTTTTTCTTAATCATTTGTCTTTTGATACTTCTAATATTCCATTTTTGTCTAAAGATAATTTAAAAATATACTGAACACTTTACCCCATGTTTTTGACAAACTGAAAGTGCATGATTTTTCAAAAGTGTATATCGAAATAAAAAAGAAGAATGTTTTTATGCCACAAATAGTTGGGCATGTGAGGGGGGTTGCTTTATCATGAGATCAAAAAGCAGATGTATCTTGTCTTATTTGATAAAGATATTAAATTTTCCACCTGTACCTGACTCGACATTCACACAGAGCCCTGATTTATTGCCACAATGTGTTTTTGCGTATGATGTGTATTGTCTCATATTGGTTCAAAGTAATAATTCGCCACAAGATATAGGGGGATAGGGGATGTCTCTATTATGAGTTCAAAGAGCAGATGTCTGTAATTCATGAATGTATTAAATGCCACAAAACTGAAACAATTGGACGTTGAATGCAACTGGTAAGTTTATCACAAGATCACGCTATTGTTCTAACAGACTTTTTAACTAAGCAAACTAATTTCCAACAAATGGTCAAATTCACTCCGACGAATATTTTTTTAAATGAAAAATAGTATATTATAATAAGTGTGTCATACTTTTTAACTTAAAAGATATTTAACATGCTATGAAACAAAATTAAAAGTAAAACTGACTTTTAATAAAAATACATTTATTTATATATTAATTCTTCAAGTGTCACCTATTTAAGATAGCCAGCCCTACCTGGATTTATAAGACACATTAAGTAAACATTACATTATTATAACTTACAATACAAATTTATAATTAGTGCAATTCAAGAATGCAATTCAACATTTAGACTTCAAATTGAAGTTTTTAATAATTTTTTCTATTTGGCCATCTATATTTGTTGCATTGTCAAATAAAATTTATTTTTACTATATTTAGTGAAAGAATCACTAATGGGAAGATACTTACATTCAGTTTGATTGATTTTGATCCCTTACATTAACCGGACCCGCTACATGAACTATGAACATTTACATGCATAATTATTACCAAAATAGTTTTTTGCATCAAATGTTGTTGTTACCAAAATGGTTTTCATAAAATTGGTTATTGTTAACAAAACTTGTTATTGTTAACAAAGTGGTTATTTTTACTAAAATGGTTCTAATTTATACCAATGATACCAATGGTTATTATTACCTAGAGGGTTATTGTTACCACAATAATTATTGTTACCATATTGGCTATTGTTATCATATTGGCCAATGTTACCAAAGTTGTTATTATAATCTAAATTGTTATTGTTAACAAAATGGTCATTGTTACCATATTGGCTATTGTTACCAAAATGTCTATTGTTACCAAAATGGATATTGATATGTAACCTTGTATAATATTATGTTAGTTCAGCTATTAAGAGTTATACCAGGAATTTGCATTAAAATGACAGTATCTGTCGTTCCAACCCAATCCCAAATAAAAACAAAATAATTTATAATATTCTGTTACAATACTTGTAACATCAGTTAGCAAAGGTCACCAGGTGTCAAAGTCAGTTGAATGTTTAAGCATTAAATATCATTATCAAACAAAAATTCATTTCGAACTATTTTAGGATGAGAAGACACCCACCCTTTAATAATAAATCTTAAAGTTACATTTCCACTTCTCAGTGACTTCATTGTACTTTCAGATCAACCTCAAATGTTGAGATTTCAGAGAGTCAACATTTCATGACATTAAACCCCACCCTGATTGGCGTCATGATCCTGGTTGCTATAGTTACCGGGTATATCCTGACATCTATAACCCTGCTTCATTTTCCCACCCTCCTGCACAAAAAGAAGAAACAAAGATTCATATGTCGACATATTAGTCATAGAGGAGGTATGTATGTATTGTATTATAAATTCTGTTACCCTTGGAAAAATTCAACTGCATTGACACTCTTTAAATTATGCAGATAATATCTAGTCTATATCTAGTCTATACCATCATGTTTATCATTCCCTATAGCATATAACTTGTAAACGGAGTTTTTGATTTCATAATCAATTATTGCACATCTTTAAATGTCATAATATGTTATGCGGGAATAATAAACATTGGTATAAGTGAGTTTCGAAATCTCTCTCATGATGACTTCACAATGGCCTTCAGGACTGTCAATAGATGGCAAAAAATTCAGTGGGTTTAATAGCATACTTTAACATGTAAAAATTGCTCCAAAAATCTCCCAAGATAAATATTGTTGAAAATATCCAAAACCTTTTGATTTGGGATCTCAAAACATGTTTGTAAATAATGATGAAGGAAAATATGATATTTATTTGATATGTGTATTGAATTTGAAGTTTAAAAATAGCAATATTTACACACAAACCAATGGGCCAGATGTGAAGAACAACCTAGTAGTTAACTGCCATCTATACGAGTTCTGGTTCCCATTCAGTTTTAGTATACATGTACAGAGCTGTCAAGTGTCCCGCGATTGGCGGGATTATCCCGCAAATTTGATCAAAATTTGGCTAATTCGCGTGTCCCGCAATGTCCCGCGAAGTCCCGCGAAGTCCCGCAAATGTTGGCTTTGACCTCCGCGAATTTTCAAAATTGTAACAATCTCCGAGGCTAAATAATTGTGATTATCTTGTGATATAAGAAGCTAAGTTTTTGCGCTTTTGAGGAGTAAAGTTTACCTAATTTGAAAAGTGCTGCCAAACTCCCAGTGCATCAGATCATCGTAGACTGCTTTTGAAAAGAGCATATAGTCCATTTATTAAACTGTGATTTTGATCCAAATAACACCATAGTTGGCTTCTCAAGTAGCTAGTATGCCGTTATTTGGTATCAAAATAAAGAGGAAAAGTGCAATTTTCATTTTAATTACGAAAATAGGGATGTATGTCACGTATAGTTCCAACGTTGGCCTTTTTACTACGCGTGTCACGGCCTTCATCTAAGAACTGAGCAAATGTTAGCAAACGCGAGTTCCAATAAATGGACACTGATATCTCGAAAAGAAACCTGACTCCCTGTAATTTGATTTAGATTAATCGAACCCCAATATGAATAGGTACATTTTAATATGTAACACTATGGGGGGGGTTAAACGTTTCATAGCTGGTCACGCACATCATAAGTGCAAAGTATTGTTCAGAATTTTTGAATTTCGTGTTAGATTACGGTACTCACAACTAAAGCGTGGTTTTTTGATACAGGGTGGTCAAAAAATGGAAACCCTGCATTTTCCTTATATCTTTGTCACTTTAAAAAATTACTCCCTGATATTTCACACATTTGTACATCATTCGATTTTCTACCACCCTACCATATTTCATGACCATCGGACTGATAGACACAATTTTACAGCACTTAGAATAACCCCGGGAGAATAACATGCTTCAGATTTGGCCATTATCGCGTTGTAGGCAAAACAGCACAGTTGTCAATGAGCCGAATGCATTCCTCAGCAGGTATGGCCTGAATGACACAAATGATCTCACTTTTGAAGTTTGCAATTGTCCTGAGGTCATTCTCATATACTCTATCTCTGCCATATCCCCACAGGTAGGGACATTTTAGACGAAGAGTCAAGTTTCCCCACAAACCAATAGTGGCCACTGGGCATATTCTTTAGAGTACTGTAACATTGTGACTATCAATCTGATGGTCGTGAAATAAAATAGGCTGGAGGCAAATTGAATGAAATACAAAAGTGTAAAATATCAGGGAGTTATTTTTTAAAATGACAAAGATATGAGGAAAATGGTATTAGGGTTTCCATATTTTTGACCACCCTGTAGTTTAATAATATTTCTATGCGTATTGTGTGGAATTGTGTTGACGTTTACTTAAGTTAAGTGCATTATATTTGATAAATCAGTATCTAAAAGTTTGATTTGAGAACTTTTACATTAAGCCCCAATCACGTATCCCTTTCAAGAATGTCCTGCGACATCCCGCAAATTTAGGTGGATGTCCCGCGAAATCCCGCGAATTTAGGGCACTATGTCTAAAAAATCTGTCCCTCTATGAAGTATTTGGTGGTAACCCTGTTAATTGTCCCGCAATTAGCATGTTTGTCCCTCGATCGAATGGACCCGTGAAATCCCGCGAATTTGATCAAAATTTGACCTATTAGCGCAATCACGCAAATCCCTTAAATGTCCCGCGAAATCCCGCGAATTTAGGTGGATGTCCCGCGAAATCCTGCAAATTTTTGGTACTAGGTCTAAAAAATCTGTCCCGCGAGAAAATCTTTGGGGGTTGACAGTACTGCATGTAGTTAACATTCATTTAAACACCAATATAAATGTCAGTAAAGCTATATTGAGATCATTAAGACTAATAATATAGATGTTGAGAGAGAGAGAGAATGAGTGATGATTTAAATGTTGCTTATCGATACCTTAGCTACCTAGAACCCTAACAAATATTAAATTCCTTCAACAGAAAGGTTTGATTTTAAGGCCTTTTAAAGATGTCAGTACCTACATGTACCAAATATGACGACTAATAAAGCTTTCTAATGCATGTAAATCCTGCCATCTTTTGATAAATGAAAGAAGCCATGAAATTGGTAGAATTCGCGAAAGTTAGCTCAGGCCTATTGCTACTTTTGAAAAACTACAACCTATGACATCATCAATAAAATTATGATTTAACACATTTCATGCTCACAAGATCTTAATATTATTTTTTATTTGCTCAACAACAGGTGCTGGTGAAAACCTTGAGAATACGATGGCTGCCTTCCAGCAGTAAGTTAAAAATAAAATATCCCCTTCTCCCATAGAGAATAAAATATCCCCTTCTCCCATTAAGTATAAAATATCCCCCTCTCCCATAGGGATGGTGCCTAATTATCAACAGATGCAGAAAAACAAAGTTAATTTTGTTATTGTTTGACCCCCCCCCCCCCCCTTGCCTCATCTACAAAATTTTGAAGTGTTGATTTTTTCACTTGAATATTAAAAAATTACAACACTATTCACTTATGAAACCATAATTTACCCCCCCCCCCATCTGATGAAACTAACTTTGTTTTATCACAACTTTGCATAATTTAACCCTATTAGGATAACAGCAATGAATCAACCAGGTGCTGCACCCATTTGAATATTGATAATTCACCTTGCACCCATTTGAATATTGATAATTCACCTTGCACCCATTTGAATATTGATAATTCACCTTGCACCCATTTGAATATTGATAATTCACTTGCACCCATTTGAATATTGATAATTCACCTTGCACCCATTTGAATATTGATACATATATTATTCACCTTGCACCCACTTGAATATTGAAAATTCACCTTGCACCCATTTGAGAATCAATTCCTGAATACTGATGAAAACTTTAAAAATCATGATTGAAGAACAGAGGAGGTAAAAACCCAGAATTTGCTGCAGTTCAGCTATATACGAAGAAGGTTAATATTTGAATTATGGGTTATTCCCTCCTCTTATTGAAGAATCAAGATCTGACTAACAATTTTGAATATTTCCAATAAGGTAAAATCAGTGTTTCGGATCCAGTCACGACAAAACTCACTAGAGAACACTGCAACAGTTTATAAAAGCTCTAATTGTCCCAGGTGTATTAAGTTTAATAACTCCACAAATCTATGAATCCATTGTGTGTGATAATTAATTTGTAGCAACACTTTTCAAAATGTTAAAATAGAATAGAAAAAAGGAATTAGCTTTCTGTTCCCTGATTTTCTATTCAATTTTATTAACAATAGGATGAAATTAAGTGTTGACTTCGGCTTATCATTGCTCCCTGTGCGTAATATACATTTCATGAAAGTCCTTCATTTTTCACTCATTTTCTCTCAAAAATTTGAATAAACGCTCTGATTTATTTACACTTCTATACAATTTAGAGTATTCACTACATCCCTATATACTTTATTCCTCTTTTATTTCACTCTTTCCCCTTTTGTTTTTCATTTTAAAACAAGACCGTCATTATTTTTTGGGGGTAAAGAGTTACATCTTTAATCTACTCCTGGGTGTTACTTTAATGCTTCTACACTTATTATCCGGAAAACAAAGTTATCAAACAGCTATGTTTTAAAATCATACTTAGAATAAAAAGGAGAGAAGTCACCAGTAATAAAGTAAACAGGCATGTAGTCAACACTTTAAATTATATAAAAAGGCAAGAAAAATAGCCAAGTCACTCAGATAATTAGAGAAAAGATCTGAAATCAACTTGAATCGAGAGCAATTTGAAGTGAAGGAGAACTATATTAACAAATCTATTCCAAGGGAGATTTATTAGACTCTAGAGTCTTATTGGAACAATTAGGTTACATTTTTATTACCTTACAGCAATATGAACCTTAAGTAGAACTTAGCTGAGGTGTGGATGGGATTAATGGAATTTGAGGAATAAATCAGATTGACAAAGTACATTAAGATTAAGGTTAAGATGGGTCTAGTGAGATTGCTTTAGCACCTTTTGGCTCGTGATATCAGTTCTGTAAGTTCAAATCTAAAAGGATTGGTTTAATTTGTCATATTTGTATTTTCACACAGTCGATGCATGTCTATGATTGGTCAGTTTCAATCATGTGACTGTCCAGGATGGGATATCTAATCAGATTAATTTTTTACTGGTTAGAGAGTATGGGAACGCCTCGAGTGAGAAAAATGTGAAAATGAGTCTGATTGGGTTTTTCAATCTCAGCCAGCAACTCACGAGGGAGTCCATTTTTCTGCATGGCTGCATGTCCTTAATAAATTTCTTGGAATATTTTATTGTCTCGTCAAACAGGTAATAAGAGAATCTACAAAAACAGTCTTTGTCATTACCAATGATTTATTCTAAAATGGGTTCATAAATGGGTTCATATGAAACCCGTAAATGCGTTGAAGATTAATCCCTATGAACCCCTAAATGCCAAAATGCAATTCATTTTAATGAACTTTTATATGGTTTATTCTCTCTTGTGTATTTTTGATATCATTTGTACTATAATAGTAATAAAATTCCATCAATCATTTGTGTAAATGATTATAGGACATAAAAGTTTATTACAATTTTAAATGTTTATTTCTCAAAGTAGTCCATATTACATATTCTAATACATCTTACAAAATGATGACTAAATATGAAAGTTCACAACACTGATATGTTTTAGATTCCCATAAATTACAGAAATTGTGTCGATTAAGAAAATCTGTATTTCATTGAATTGCGTCAATTACACTTAGCGGTACTGTAAAATCTGTATTTCTGAATACTTCGCAATATGAACACATTTTCTACCAATTTTAGAAAAACAATAATACAATGATATTGAAAGCTTATTGTAATATAATAGTATTAGTCTGCAATGATATCATTATTAAAGTTTACATACATTAATGTTTCTTTATATATAATTTAATTTAAGGAATATAAAGATTTCTAATTTACAATCAAAACATCTAATTATGTAATATACGTACTGTACATTTAATGAGCCTTTTAAGAAATCTAACAATTATGGTGTAACAAATTGATTATTTACATTTAGATAGATTTGCATCCATAGCCATTTGTTTTATTAACTTGGTTGTGTAGGTAAATAGCATGCAGGAATATAATTGATATCAGAGGTGAATGGGAGATATTAAATATCTCCCACTGTGTGCCCCTGTTTATTCTCTCTCAGCAACCAGCATAGGATAAATCAGTTATTTAATGCTTGGTTTTCGATACAGGGAATTACCCTTGAAAATACAATATATCTATATGTCAATATTGTATTGATTTAAATTCTATTGAACCATCTCTGTATTGAACACCTGTCTATAGCCAACAATATTGACCAGGACGAGTCATAGAGTGTTTCATCCACACAAACTCTGTACATCTCTCAACTTGAAAACTTTTCGGTCCTATTTTTATGTTACCACCAGAAGTCGTGACATATTGTTAAAGAGTCTAACTTTTTTGTGAATGGTTGGCACTTGGCAGTTGTTATTAGTATAGGTGGTTGGTATCCATTCATGCCTAAATTCATGTAAGATCACTAATATTTCTCATTGTTCACATAAGTAGAAACTAAATTAGGTTTTACCAAATCTTCAGCGCAAATGTTCTTTCAAGCTGCCATGCTGGTAGTTCATACCCTAAAGCCCTTGCTTTTACGTTGATATCGTCTGTATGCCCTCGAGATTGTCGAGGCGGCCTGTCGCATCTCCTTAAACTGTTTCCGTTCTCGATGTGCGCGATATTTTGTTTGAATAACCTTTGCGCTGTCTTGGCGATGTAACTTATCGTGTTTCTTCCCTTTCTTTGAACATTCTTGATCATTATTTCCAGGAGGTGAACTTTGGTTTTTCTCGTAGGCATGGCATTCATTACCATTAGGGTCATTGTCATCGTCGTCATTGTTGAACAGTTTTTTGAACTTTTCCTGTACCATTACAACTGAACTACGCCTGGTTTCTTGCTTTGGCGAAGCCAGGAATAGTGAATTACGCCTTGATTCTTGCTTTGGCGAAGCTAAAAACAATGAGCTACGTCTGGATTCTTGCTTCGGGGAAGGCAAAAATAGTGAACTTCGCCTTGATTCTTGTTTTGGGGAAGCCAGATGTAAAGTTCTTTTTCCACTATTATCATTTTTGTCAGTGCTACTTTGGAATAATGTAGTGAACTTTTCTTGCACCAGTTCAACCGAATTACGCCTTGGTCCTTGCTTTGGGGGAGACAAAAGTGTATTGCTTTTATTCCCATTAGCATTTTGGTCATCGCTATCATTGAAAAATGATTTTATTTTTTCTTGGACTGACTCAACCGAATTACGCCTTGATTCTGACTTTGGTGGGGTCAAGAAAGTAGTCCCTTTACTTTCATTCGCATTCAAATCATCATCAGTGTTGAACAATGTTTTGAGTTTAGTTTGGACTATTTCAGTCGAATTACGCCTTGAACCTGGGTTTGGTGTGGCCAAGAAAGTAGTGCTTTTGTTATCATTTCTGATTGGAGAGCGATGATTATGTTTACAATTAGGATTTTCAGAGAGGAAAAATCCTTGAATTTTACTTGTAATGTTTACGTTACCATGGCTACCATGGCTTCCATGCTTCTTTTGAGCTCCAGGTGAAAAAAATCCTTTGATTTTTTCTTTACAAGTTGTTTCTGGGCTGTGGTGTCTATGTCTGCCTTCCTTTTCTTGGTTCCCGCTTGAGAAAAATCCTTGAATTTTATTGGTGGTGTCGTTCAGGGAGAAATTGCCCAAAACTCCGGAGAAAGAATCGCCAATTGTGTCTTTGTTAAAGAAACCACCTGATTTGCGCTTACTTGGTCTTGGCGATGACATTGTGTTAATCTGCCTGGAAGTAAAAAATATTAGATTTTTTATTTTATTTATTTTGACACTGTATTTAAAAGCAGGGGCACACTTATTGGACTTGTCCGTATGTGAGCGTTTACCTTCATGCATGAAAATGGCTTATATTAGAAATAAACACATATTGCGAAAACAGCTGTTGCTTTGCCCGTTGCCTTAATATTTGATTAGGATGTTCTCAGAGTTCTAATGAAAACCTAGCTATTATATGTATATATTTCTGGTTTGTGACTCAAGGCTAAGAAGAAAGAAGACATGTTTTTTTTTCTTGTTATGTCAACACCAAAAGTGGTGACATATAATTATGGTCTCTGTTTTTTGAGACAACGGTTGTGGTTGATGGGCAGCGGTTGTTGGTTGGCATCTCTAACAAATTCTTAAAACTTCCAATAACTACAAATACTGTTTAGACTGACTTCAATTTTTTTCAAAATCATCTTCAAGTTCTCAGAAGTTAAAATCTGACTTTAGATTTGAGATTTGACCTTCAATGACCCTCTCAAGGTTAAAAAGTTTAAAAAGGTCCTTTTTCAACTTGCTTTAAATTGACCAATTTTTTTTTCAAAATGATCTACAAGTTCTCAGCAGTTCAAATCTGACTAAGATGAACTAATAATAATGTGAGCAACTACACATTTTTTCATGTTAATGCCTTGAGAATCTTATTTACTTCATACCTTATTATCCAATAGATGCGAATAGAAATAATCTTGATTTACATCATTAAATATTCAAAATTCACATGTAAAATTACATCTAAAAAAATGGTTTCGAAACTTGTTTATCAACTTTGAAAATTTTTTTTTTTGAAAATGTGACTTCTAGCGGGTTGATTCCTCATAGACCCCATGTTACAAAATCACAAAAAGTGAAATATCTTTTCTTGTATTGGACAGATAACATTTTCTTTTACTGGACATATTTTAATTTGCATAACTATTAGATGCATAAGGGTTATATAAAAATTGAACCACTAAAACAGATGTAATTTAAGTTAAAGGGAACTTTCTACTATACCCGCCATGTTATCTGACCCGAACGAGCCACCTGGTGACGAAACTGGTAACTACTTGTACTTACTCGCATCTGTGTTATTGTGGTTGTCTTAAGAGTTTATTTGCCAATAAAGTTTTCATCCCAGGCCCTCAACAATTATTATGTTCATGTGATTTAAATTCCAGTTAAAAACTATAGTCTATTTAGAATGATTGTTTCCCAAATTTTTATTATCCTGAAATTTTCATTTTTCCGATATTTTTAATTTTAAGTATTTCTTCTCAAAATTTTCAAAGTGAAAAAAGTTTATATGATACGAAAAATGTATACTTTTAGTCCTTTTTAATTATGCTAGTAACTCAATAAAAATTTTTTAAAACAATTGCCTAATACTCAAGAAACCCCTGCATCGCATAACCTGACATATTATCTCTTTCGGTATATTGCCAACCTTTCCTTAATAGGCAAGAACTCACAGCTTCTAGCAAGTAACATTTTTGTGATTTATGTCCATTATCTATGCTTTGCCTAAATGATGTCGCAATAACGAAGTTAAGTCTTCAATTCTCTGCATATAGGGTTTACATAACGTTATTAGTTGCAAGATTAAAACAAACGATGATGATCTATTTGTTCAAATGATATCAATAATATGATTGATTGGAGACAACTCTAAGACTAAATGGCTTTGTGTGATATTACAGTTTGAGTCTTCGTTGAGAGAAAAAGAAAATCTTAGGCTCTTGTATATTACATATCTGGTTAGTGGGTTTAGAACCTGATCATCCCAACCCCATTTTCATTTTTTTATTATTTTGTCTAGTAGGTCTAAATATTTTTTGATGAAAAATAGAAAGCACTATACTTGATTAATCTGAAAAAGAAAGCATCTTTGAGTACAAAATTACAATATACCCATCTTTACAGAAATAACATTTAATAAGCCTAAATAAATTCTATTGAGCAATTATGAATATTAGTATTGCTATTCATTTAATTTTACTGAAATATTTATTATTACTGAAATTATTATTAATCAACATTTTTATATATACTGAATAATAATAGATTTAGAATAAAAGCATCACTCCATTTCAAATCAAAATTTTATGCAAATAGGTGAATCGGTGAATATGGAGGTTAAGTGAAAAAATAATTAATATCCGTATTCTTTGTAATTAGCGCCCAGGGCGGTTAGAAAATTGAAAATACATCATTCAGACCATTCTAATAAGCGCCCATGTATGAAAGAAATCAAAAATCCCAAGGAATTTCATGTTATACTTAATGTCTCACTAAATACAATTGCAACATTTTCTGTTTTATGCAATCTAGAAATTAATTAGCTCAGCCTCATAAAGTGTATTATGTGGACCACTTAAGGTATACATTCAACTTGAGAGAACAAAATGATTCACAAATATTTTTCCTCTTATCATTCCATGTTATACATTATTTCTCTAAAAGTCCAACAGCTGACTTTAATAGCTGACTTTTTTCAGGATAATTCTTTGTAAAGTTTCTGTCAAAACTTTCAGAACATAAAAGTAACGACTATAAAGAAAACATTGGAAAAATTGCTTTCTACATTTTACAATCTATTCCTTCTACTTTAACGATGATGAGGTTTTCTGTAAATCATATCCTTAATTGAACGTCATTGTAAACGTTACATAGTTATTACTCTGTAGGAGTTTGCATCGCACCTGTGACAAAGACACTTATAGCCCTTTAACAATAACAACTCCATAACACAAGTATATTGCCATTTATGAAATCACTTTTACGCATTTATGTTTTATTTACGAAGACATATTTTGGTTAATCACCAATTTATTTGTGAATTATTTAGACAGTTAAATATAAGTGGACTTTTTATGAATTTTTATGTCACCACCAAGCAATAGTGACATATTGTTATTGTCACAATTTCTGTGACTAGTGTTTGCATCTGTAACAATTTTCACTATTTCTATATATCTGTAACATGTTGTTACATTATTGTATTCATTTGCAAAAAGTTAATTTTATCAATTTTTATCAATTTTATGCTAGTAATACCTCATTTATTTACATTTACAGTATTGTAATTTAAAGAATATCTAAAGTAATAAAAAAAAACAGTTATAGAAATAAAATATAATTAAGGAATATTTCTGATATTAATGATAAATCTCAAAAATCGCACGCCAATTTGTAAACGATTGCAAGTACAATTATTTGCTTTAATTTGCAGAGTATTTAAATAATGATCTTGTATTTTTAAAACTTACATTAGAAATATGATATACATGTATGTAAACAAGTGTAGCTGGACGAAGATGCATTAACTAAATCAGGATATTAATCAAAGGATCATATAATTAATCGAAGGATCATATAATTAATCAAAGAATCCTATAATAGGCAATCATGCTATGAGATGATCTGATTGCTGAAAAACATTTGTTAAACTCTTAAATATTTCAAGATACAAACCTTAAATTCTGAATCCGATCTTTTCCTTTAGGAAAATCCAACTTAAACGTTAAATCAAGATTTCTGCTTTCTTCCGAGTTGGTGCTAAACTTTCCTTATATAGAAGTATCAAACTCTCCAAATATAGATGTATGAACTAGACACGTCAAGATCACTATAGTGTGTGATATTTTAGAGAGGCGAATCAAATTTGTTTAAGGTCTAAATTGAATTTCCACGCATCTTATTGGTACTCCTGAACATCGCCAAACATTATTACTTTGTGTACTGTTTTTCAAGTTATCTTTATTAAGGCGTCATAACATAATATAAGGGCCCATCTCAATATTATTATTGTATAGATGGGACCATCTCAGTATGACTTAATATATAGGATGATGGACCATCTCCATAGAAAGAAATATGCAATTAACATCCATTGCAAGAATAATGAAAGCACTTAGAAAATAAAGGAAAATCAATTAACAAGGGATTAAATGTCCTATTATAATTAAAGGGAGTTTGAAAAATTATGATCATTTTAAAAAACATTGATTTTTTGGTGTCACTCATTAATGCTGATAAATACCACTGGTGGGGAGTTGTCAGCAATCTCACTTTTTATTCATATTTCTTTAAAAATACGAGTGCACTCATATTTAAAAAAATGTTTGTGCACTCATATTTTAAGACAATGTTAGTACACTCACGTTTTAAAAAAAATATATTTGTGCACTTGTGTTTTCAAGTAAATGTTATTGCCCTCATGTTCTTAAAAAGATTTTAGGGTGCTCTGTCATCTACATATATATTTAGATTTTCAGAGTATCAAATTTTACTGATAGACTTTGGAATTCCAGGTTGTAAAGCAGAATTATTTCATGTTTTCATTTATCAAAAATTTTGAATCTATTAGTATTTTATGTCATGATGAACTCATTACAATGTATTTCAGAAATATATTTCTAATAGGAAAATGATTCATTCACAGCATTTTGTAAAATAAGCAGGTATATGTATTCCCCGATGTATGGTCATGGACAATCACCCACATATTATTGTTTGATGTCTTATGGGGGCCTAAATGAATGGTGCAATCAGGTGTATATTGATCTATTGACCCCTGGGAGACTCCATCATTAATATAAGGTTTTATATTGTTATAGTACATTTGTATTGTCCTTTAGACTAAATGGGTATGATAACAGACAAAATCAGGATACCTATTTGTTGTGATGGCATTTAATTAATTGCAACAATTCTAGCGCAAAAAATGGATAACTTCAAAAATTTCTTAGAATAGATGTTTCAAATAAACAAAAATTCTTTCAAAATCATGCAGTTTTTCCCCATTCCGAGCACATTTTAAGTGATTTTGGCAGGTTTTGGACCAAAATTGTCAAAAGTGAACCCCTGGAATTTTTCAAAAAGTGAACCCCCCCTTGGCAAATCCTGGCTACGGGCCTGAAAATGAAATATAGAATACCAATTCCTTATTCCAAAGCTATAAGATTAGAATGACGAAATTTAATTATTGAAAAGGTCATTTTCCACAAAAGTTATTCTTTAGATTATGAGTATCCCTCCTGATGTCACTAATTGGATGACTCTTTCTAGAAATAGTGATGTCAATAATTCAAATTCTGATGTCATTAATTTGTTTAAATTGATTCAATATAGTAAGTAATGGTCAATAGGTGACTCGTGAGTCCAGTTTATTAAAGACATCATCTCAGAGCAAGCTGAAGAAAGAAAGACCAGAGTAGATGTGTTCGGGATGTCCATGTCCAAAATAGCACTTTTGGAAAAGTTAAGCTCAGAAACTGGAAAGGTGATATTTTAGAGGTAAATAGTCCCATGAATCTTTTTCAAATTTTTTAACCTATTTAGACCACTCCCCCCCACCAAAGTTTTATACTCTAATAAATCTTGAATTCCATTGCTTTTCTTATTTGAACATATAGCAAATGAACATTTTTTTAACAAAAACATTATTGCAAAATTGTGAAATGTCTGGAGTTGTCAGGAAAATTACCTCCAGTTGCCAAACTTCAAACTTATTGAGGGGGTATATTATTACATTATAGAGTCATAAGTATCTCATCAGAAATTCCCACATCCGTTAATCCATCAGTGGAGATAATTTGATTGAAGCTGAATCAGAATTTTATGCGGAAATTATATAACTGTTACAGATCCAGTGAAATTATTATATTAGTATGTTGCAACAGAATATTATTTCTTACAAAATGGTATTTATTTCTAGATACTTTTCAAACTCTTGACTCCTTTCATAAAATAGTCTGAGGGAGGTACTTTGAATTCTCTAGAAGACCCAGGCGCTAATTGCAGACAACAAAGTAACCAATTTTAGGATTATTTTGACATAGAGATAAGTTCAGCAATGAATTCTGGTGGAATTTCCTCTTCTTTGTGGAGATCGTGATCCTACGATTATAACTTTTTATAAAACAAACAGATACAATCGTAGAAATATTTTCTTGCTTTCAGTATCCTAAACTAGAATGTTTCATTAATGAATTTAAGGCAAGGACTAAATGATTTGTAGGTGATTTATGACATGAAGTTCTTGTATAAGAAAAAAAAAATTTGAAATTCAATTAGAAACTAAATTGTTTACACATGTTTCCTCTTATTTTAGGTGATTGACTTTTAAAGTTTGTGCTAACATTGTTCATTGTTTTTTGTTTTACTTATTGTCTATTATCTCATATCCTGTGTTCTGAATGGTCAATAAATGATAATACATGCCTTGCATGTGTGAATTCAGTTTCATTAAATGCATTTTTTGAAAAAATAAACCAATTATATTATGACAATTGTAAATAATACAAGGCATGTTCAAAATGTTCTGAATTAAAGATTTACAAAAAAGATGTATATATTTGAGAAAAACTTTTTGAACTCCCTTCGAAAATACTTTACATAGTGCATTCATGGTAAACTTGAAAGGGATCCCAGGATTTTGTCTGTAATTTTCCCCTTTGTGTTAGGATTTAGGAGATTTGGCTTATGTAAAGACCCCTGTATCCCTTGAGGGACCAGCGTCATTAGCTCCATTATAAGATCATATATCATATTGATGTTTTTCCATAAAGTGAAAACATGTTCAATGAATCTGCAGTATCTATAGCGTAAATGTGGAAGCGCAACTTACAATATAACCAAAAATAAACAATACCAATAAATAATAACGCATTTTTAGCTAGGGTATTAGAAGAATATCAATAAAAAAGGCTAATTGTCTTTTTACTCCGCTCAGTAAAAGAGTTAGCAAACCTAGAAAATGGTCATTCTTGACATGAAAAATAGAGCCTTGATGTGAGTGTTGTGTTATGCCCTACTTCCCCAATTATAGGAAAATCACTGAATGTAAATATATAGAGGAAGCGTATAATATATTGCCCATTAAATCGTGATGGAGATATATCTCATTTGCATTATGAAGTCATATTTAGCACCTGGGCCCACATCAGCAAAAAACAGAAAAAAATAAACAGACAGACATAAACAGACTCTATATAATATAAAAATGCTAAAAATTAATTCAATTTATTCATTCTTGAAGAGAAAGGCAAAGAATTAATGTGAACCGAGAGAAAGATCTTGTACTGGAATTTAAAACCCACGCATGATTAAAAACAAAATCAATTTGCACTAAATCTCGAAAGCCAATTTATCATATATCCAATCTAAAGGAATCAACAGAATCCTTTAAAATAAATGATGGCCTGTCCAATGTTTCTATACCTGCCCAGTTTGAATAAATAGCACCGGAGGGGACTACTTTTAAATCAGGACTCAACGTTGTGTGAAACACATCACCACGTTTATTTCCCACGAGTACGCCCATTTATGGACGTCTTATTGAATATCGACACTGCATGACAAAGTTTGATGTTTTTTGTCGCAGTTTATTATTTTTAACAGGCTTATCAATATATCTTGTTTCTATCTATTACCTTTTGTTTGATTGGCTAAGACTTACACTTTTAATCAAGGAAAATTAAAATAATCTTATGCAGGCCGGGTGGTCTTTACGTCTTGACCCCAATTTTTCATTTGATAATTAAAGGTATAATCAGTTCTTTGATTGAAAGAATGACACAATTTTTATATAAAATTAATATTTATTGACATGCAATTTCTCCATTTTAGGAGCCCGATATACATCTATCCCTATTTTCTTACCCATTTGATAAATAACTGGAAATATTTATTGGCCTGGGCTAATTTAGAAATTTTTAGAACAACAAAATAGTACACGTTTGGGAATTAGTTTTGTCTTCAAGATTATCTTCTCTGTAGAGATTCCAAATTGATATGAAGCAAACTATCATTATCCCACGGCAGAAGTGGTTAAATACAGAATTCAAATTAAAAACATGACTCCATTTTGAAAACTCTCAAAATGCATTAACTTTTTAAGATGAATCGAATTTTCACCCTGGCTTAGAAGAAAAACCAAGATAATGATAAATTACATAGAGGATATTTTATGATTTATGAGTGAAATGATTTTTACCCAACTTGTTTTGAGTCAAGTAGCATAAGTCAGTTAAGCAACGGATTATGAATATCAAATTTTTCCATTGGTGCGTTATAAAATACAAATTATTTTTATTTTTATCTTATCCTACTAATATATGACAATAACATTGGAAAATACAAAATGATACTCGTTAGATTGTTATAAGAATAAAAAACTATTCTCTTGTAAGAGAAAAGATCTATTGTATGATATCATCATGAGGTTTTGAGAAGTTTGATTCGATATATAAACCAAATGGTAAGTTGTTGAAGATGACTACCGTCTCATTTAAGACAGAGATAACTAAAGAGAGTATAATTACTGTGACAACCACCCCAAAGGAACATCACAAGATAATGCCCTTTGTTTATTTTAAAAGTGAGCTTCATCTACACTTACTTCATAGAAGAGAACTCCTTTGATCTTGCCTTGGCCAATCAGATTAGGTTGATCAGAATACAATTCTGGATTCACATTTATTTACATATTCTTTACACATTTCGGCTTGACATCCTCTTGGATGTATATAGCCTTTTTTATTATATAAATATTCAAATAGATAGCTGATGCTTGAACATTAAACATTTAATAAACAAGAAGAAGAAACAAGAGAGAAAGGGAAAGTTGCATGAAGCTGACATTTAATTAGTATCCAAACCCCTGGTATATAACATGAGTGTAATTTCTGTGACAACCTAACCCAAAGGAACATCTTGAAAGAACCCCCACAAGAAAT